GACGGGGTATGGAAACGGCCCTAGAATTAAGATTGTTAAGGAGAATTGTTCACATGTAGCGGGAACACCCCTATGGATCCCCATAGATATTAGTAGTATGGTGAAAACGAGAAACGGTGATAATCAGTTATTGTTAATGAATACGGATTTATGATGTGTTTTATGTTACTGGTTATGCATAAAATTATGATATGTATGATGTTATTGTCTTTATAGGTTGTTTTCACAGGTTCTCCAAGGGTAAGAAAAAAGGTAAGTGGTTTTATTTTAAATAATTGTATTGGTTTAAAATTTGTGCTCTATTGGTTGTTTTGGTTTTCTACCAACCTTTACTTCTGTGACGGTGATATAGTGTGATATCCTTACTAGGGTAGTGTAACTCATTTCTTATTTAACCATTTCAGATTAGGAGGATCTGGTTCCCGAGCCTGATCCACAAGAAGACGGCGAATAGATGTTAGATGCTTTATCGTTTCCTTTATTTTTCTCATTTCTCGTATTTCTTTTAGAGAACTTATTTCATGATATTGTTTAGTACTTTTAAGTTATTGTGTAAGAGATATTAATCTTAATCTTTTATTTCGTTTCCGCACTCAGATTATTATATGTATTTCCTTTTAAATTTATGGGACCGTTACAACATAGAACCAAAATCTCATTTGCTGGGCCTTGACTCATTCTTTTTTACACTTATTATAATCTTAACATTCGTACGACGTCAGACTAGAGATATTGGCTTTAAAAAGTTAAATTACAAACACAGAGGGAAAAAACTCTTGATTTTTGAGACTCTTTTATCGGCTTCTCTTTAAAAAGAGAAAGAAATATCTGAAGTAACACACTTCATACCGTGTAGAAATTCGACAACCTATCTATCACGGACGAAGGTGCGTCCATGTAGGTCCAAACACCAACTGAACACTAGAAAATAGAATGGACAGTTCATGTGCTGAAGTCTCTACACTATCAATAGATACCCACAAAGTAAATGCAAAATCATTCACATCCATAGAAATATATAAACCTATATATGTAACAAGAAGAAATATAAAATTTTTTCTTTAAAAAGAAAAAAGCAAATATACTAAACTTCTATCCCGAATTAGAACTCTAAACTTAATGCCATTCTACCCCAAGTGAATATCAAATATAACAAACAAATTGTTTGAAAATGAGAAAAACAAAATGCATCTCAATTTGCAACACCATTAGTTGACCTCGTTATTATATGTTTGAAGCCTTGTACGTCCATAATAATGTTGAATAAATGATTTAAAATATATTATAATTAATTTTCTTTATGAAAATCATAAATTGTTGGTTACGAGTAAAAATTATAAATTAATAAGAAATAAAAATAAAATAAAGGTAAATTAAATAATATTATTATGGACATTACGAAAAGAGAAATTAATACCCGGTTCTATCGGTGTCTATATGTAGGCAGTAGTATTAGAGCAGGTTGAGAGTCAAAAGATTTTATGAAAAAAAAAAAGAAATAACCATGGCATCAAATGGAAATTCACTGAGTATTGCACAACCGGCCATCCCCATTTTTGAAGGAGAGAGTTACGAGTTCTGAAGCATCAAAATGAAGACTTTATTCAAGTCTCAAGACCTCTGAGACTTGGTAGAAAATGGGTTTGCTGATCCAGATGAGAGAGCCGGTTGAAGGAGAATAGGAAAAAGGCCTCCAAAGCATTGTTATTCATCCAACAAGCAGTCTATGCTACGGTTTTCTCAAGAATTGCAGCAGCTATGATTTCAAAGCAAGCATGGACAATTCTACAAATAGAGTTTCAAGGCTCATCAAAGATAACAGCTGTGAAACTCCAAACTCTTTGATATGAATTTGAAACTTTAATCATGAAAGACAATGAGTCAGTGCAAGATTTTTTGTTTACAGTAATGACAATTGTTAATCAAATGAGATCATACGAAAATCAAATAACTGATCAAACTATTGTTGTAAAAATTTAAGGAGTTTAACTTCCAAGTTTGATCATGTTATAGTTGCAATTAAGGAGTTTAAAGACTCGTCTAATTTTTCATTGGATAAATTGATGGGTTCTTTGCAAGCCTATGAGGTAAGGTTAAACAGATAAGCTGAAAAACTTGAAGAGGAAGCATTTCAAATGAAGGGGGAGGCACACAATTCAGGAGAATTTGACAAAACAACAATAGTAAGAGGTTGGAGGTTGGGGCAGAGGTGCAAATAACCGTGATAGAGGAAGAGACAGAAGTTTTGAGCAAAGACACTCCATCAATGAACAAAGAGACAACAAGAGTGGAATCCAATGTTATCAGTGCAAGAAGTATGGGCATCTTAAAGCGGATTGCTGGTATAAGGAGAAGCAAGTTAACTATGAAGAGACAACTAATGAAAAAAGTAAGTTGTTTATGACTTATTAATACCAGTAAAGTTGCAAGTGATGTATGTTTATAGATAATAATTGCTCTAACGATATGTCAGACATGAAAACAATATTTAAAGAGTTTAATGAGACATAAAAAATGACAGTCAAACTTGAAAATAACAAAGACGTTCAAGTTAAAAGGAAAGATTGAACAAGTAGCAAATATATTCACAAAAGCACTTCCATACCAGAAGCATGTCTACTTTAGATAACTACTTGGTATATGTAATTTCGAATCAAGGGGAAGTGTTGAATAAATGATTCAAAATTATGTTAAAACTAATTTTTTTAATGAAAATAAAAAATTTCCGATTATGAGTGAAAATTATAAATTAGTAGTTATAAAAAATTGAAGTAAAATAACGATAAATTAAAATAGTGATAAATGAGCAGTTATGAAGAGAAAAATTAATAGGTGGTCCTATCAGTGCCTATATATACACGCTGTGGATTTTCATATACAAGCATCCCCTTTTGATTGAATAGTAACCTTACATTTTTTCTTCTCCAACAAATAAGAATTCGTCTAAAATCGATCTAAAGCTCAAAAGAATATATATATATATAAAGAAAGGTCTGTTGTATTCATCAAATCAAATCCAACAAATTAAGTTCGAATTAAAGATTATCTTACTTTCTGGAAAATAGGATATTCAGCTTTGTATCTTGTACATGCAAACTCCTGTGCGTCTTGGCTGGAACCAGGCTCTTGATACAGAAACTGGTTGCAGGGAAATGCCAAGATCTCCAAACCTGAAATTATCCATATCGAGAAACAAAAGACAAAAGGAAAACAGGGAATCATCGATTTGTAAGTCTATAAAAAAAGATGCAAATGCTAAATATGACAAAGCCAAATTGGGAAATGGGAAACGATGAGAAAAAAATATGATCATGACTTGGGGAATTACCTTTGTCCTTGTATTTCTGGTAAAGATCAGTCAACTGGGTATAGTTTACATCTGTGAACCCACTGTTCGAAAACCCAAATACAAACAAATGATTATGAAAGGAAAGTAAAGCAATTATCTAAAAGAACACCCGAATTAGAATAATCAGGAAATCAACAAAAAAGAAGGAAGAGAAAAAACCATTTGGAGGCAACATTAACGACGAGCAGGACCTTTCCTTTGTAAATACTGAGGTCAACGTCCTGGCCTCTGCAGTCCTGCGAAACAAAATTGAAGAAAGTTTTAGCAGGAGGAGGTATATACAGGGAGGATAATTATGAGTGAGATTGAGATGGTAAATGGGAAAGGAGAAGAAATGGAAACCTTGACGATGAATTCATGGATAGATTTTTCTGGAACAGATTCAGAAGCCCCCATTAGGTGATACTCGGGTCTGTAATTTGCAGTCCTTGCGTTTATTTATGTTTTGAGTTGGGCTGTGTGTATGTGAGGAAGCCTTCTTCTCCACCAAACTCGCCTCTCATCTCACCTAGATTCAAACAGAATCAGTAAATGTTAATACCAATAATAATTATTTTTGGTATTATTTGTTATGCAAGAGCTTTTTGCGTTGATTCGTTTATAAACCAGCTTACTAGTTGTCTTTGTAAGTAGATAATGATAATTAGTAATAATAACTACCCCTCTAATACGTTCCATCCAAATATTTGCACTGCACCTGCCATTGCCCGTGCCTCTTCCAATATATTATTTAGCTTGGTTCAATTTTTTGTTTTTCTGAGAGGATTTAGGCTGGTTTATTGAAATGCACACAACAAATCGATTATTTTCGTTAAATATATTATATTTCAAAATTAATTATACATAAAAATGAATATGAAATAAGTGAAATAAAAATAATATATTTCAGAATTTATAAATGAGATTCATTTACTTCAAATACAGTTTAAGCCGATGATCTAAATTTAATTTTTTTTTTTTTTATAAAATATGTTTACAAATGTACGCTTAACATAAATTAATGGAAAAGGGACTCTTTCACCAAATAAGGTTTGTCTGTTAATGTAATTGAGTCCTGGCTTGGCCTTCCGTTATTCTTAAATATATATAAATTAACTTTATATCAAATCTAGAATAAAATTAAATAATATATTTTTAACTTCCAAAACAATGATTAAAAATTTAAATTAAAAGAGATTGAATCTTTTAATAACATCTACAAGTGAGAATTTACATATAATTTCGCAAAATTTCTATATTTATCCAAAATTTCAATAAATTTCATATTGTAATCTTAATTATTTTCATTGATTCAATTCTTTGTTTCACAACTCTTAGAGATAAGAATACGGGTCCAGCCTATCCCAGTAAGAGAGTGACCGCTACTAAACCAGAGCAGTCATCCCCTTCACACGGAGAAGCCTCAGAAAAGAAAAGACCAAGACACATTTATAGAAGCTCATCTACCAGAGGATGACATATACTGATATCTACAACTACCACATATACACGCCAGAAGACACATAAGTTGGTCCTACCTGTAATGCCCCGGAGATTACGGAGTAAAGAATTCACATGGCACCGGCAGTCCATGGAGACTGATGGCTACTGCACAGGAGCAAACTTTTCCTTCACCATCAAAAGGAACTGATTGATACACCGTCCAGTGTAATTCATAGGCAGATATGTATATATATATATATAGATTCAGAAAAAGACGCTGTAAATTCTCATCCAGAGAAAGGAAAGAATTTTACAAGGTATGACCAAAAAATATTACAGCTTACAACCAAAAAACAGATAAGCTATGCAGGTGAAGTTCTTTCTACCTCTGACAAATGGCCCGGTAAAATTTTTGCTAGAATTCCTATGGGGGGCTCCCAAGGCAGGAAAAAGTATACTACAAATGTAGAAACAAATTAAATTTTGATAATTGACAGCCTAGAATTAGGTACAGCCCTCCCCGTCTCTACAATGTCCCACCTTACACCCCTCAGCATTTTGCAGGAGAGACATAAAAGTACATATATATACAACGCAGAATATGTTGGCATTCCAAATTTCTGTGTCAAGCCTTCTCGTACTGAGATCCAATCCTTGCAATTCGTAAAGAACCTTGGCCAGAATTGATTCACCCCTTTCAAACAGCCACATATCCCACAGAAAAACATAAGTCCACAACAAACAATTAACTATTTTGCAATAATAATCAGATACAACATCCCTAATGGTACTTGACATTTCATGATAAATGGCGGCAATGGTAACATACCAATCATTCTAGTGCAATAGTACATGCTACCTTGGCCGCCAAATGCTTGGAGCTGCAACACACAAAAAGGACATCTGAGATCAACATTTCTGGCAACATAACTTCCACTATCCAGTCAAAGGCATCAGAAAATTTCTTGTCCACAAAATGGTAAAAAACATGAATAGACATAT